GGGACCAGGAGGACAGGCCGTTCCTCCCCAGGCCCCGGCCGAATGAGCAGTGCGGGGTGACCCAGAGCTGTCGGAGGCCTTGGCCGCCGCCTCCGGCACAGCTGGAGCCGGGACCACGCCCCGTCCTGCTCGACTCCAGGGGCTGCCTTCTCCCCGAGAGGCTGCCCCCTGCCACCTGAAGGCTGGGCGCCTGCACACTGGTCAGCGGTCCCCGTCCCGGTCCCCTCTCTGAGGCCCTTCAGCTCAGCGAGCCTCTCTGCCCGGATCGGGGGGCCCGGACGCAGGCTGCACGAGCCCCGCTTTTGTCCAGACCCATCTCTCCTGTGTGTGGATCCCTCGTCATCTTCGTGCTTTTGGCAAAGGCAGCATGGGGCGCGGAGCGTGCGTGCGGCCAGGCCCACAGTGGACACAGCTCTGCCCCAGGGGGGGCTGCCCAGGGCCCCAGAACAGGTCATCGTGCACAGACGGCTGGAGACCACCCTCGGAACACGCCTCCTCCGAGGCCGACGGGTCGCCCCGCGGGTGAGCCACATCGGGCACCCGGCTGGCGGTCATCACACAAGTACAGAGGTTTTGAAGGACGGGTGAGGACACGGGGGCTGCAGAGAAAGGAGCTTTGCAAGATCCATTCCATCTTGTCACACGTCGGCGAGCCTCGCTCATGGCAGCACTGGGCACAGGTCCACGTCTACTGCCCGAGTCCCTTGGGCCCATGGCCCCTGCCCAGCAGCTTCTTGGCCTCCACCCCCCCTGGGCTGGCCTTGCGGAGGCCCAGTCGGAGAGGGCTGCAGACTCCTCGGAGGGTGGCCGCATCGGAGCTCCGCCATGGCAGGCTCCTGGCCTCGGAGGGTGAGAGGGGATGAGGGCAGCTGACACGGAGATGAGGACGCAGAAGCCAAGCCCCTGGGACCAGCGGCGAAGGCAGGGGTGTGGCTGGTGGGGTTCCGTGGCCCCTGCGTGTGGGCGCCGAAGCAGAGAGTGTTCTAAGCGGGGAGAGCCTGGGCCGCGGTGATAAACGGTGGGCCGGCCTCGCCTCCCCGCGGGCAGCCAGTGTGCCGTGACCCGCCGCACGCGGAGCCCATTTATCTGTCTGCACGCAGCTGCGCGGGGCCCGGGCGCCTGCCTTCCTGGTGTCCTGGCCCTTCCCGTGCCTGTCCCCACGCCCCCCTTCTCCCACCTCGCCCTCTGCTGCTCCCCTGCGGGCTCGGGCGGGGGGGGGGGGGGGGGTGGGGGACCTGGATCTTGGTGACACCGTGGCCTCCGCCTCCTGGGGTCCTCCGCTTACTCCCCACCCAGGGCTCCCGGCTCCAGCCCAGCCTGTGGCCAAGTGAACCTCTGCCCTCTGCTGGCCGAGGTCAGCACTGCATTCCCTCCAGGCCACAGCGAGGCCACAGCCACATGTTGGAACAAATTCCCTGAGGGCTGGGGCACCTGCCCTCCGCTTGCGCTCTCTCCAGACAGGAGGCCCAGGGTGGCTCTGCTGGAGGCAGGGGTTCGGGGAGCCCACCGAGACAAGGATGCATCTGAGCAGGGCACTGGGGCAACCCCAAAATAATATGGGGGGTGGGGGAGCTGACAGGTGCGAATCGAGACAAGAAAGGGAAGGAGGAAATAGCGGTTATGTTCTCATCTCGTTATCCCCTCGGTGCTGAGCTCACCCCCACTGGGGGGGTGGGGACGGAGGAGCCCCGTGGCCTCTGTCCACCGTCCTGTCACCACTAAGCACGGCTGCTGGGCGGTGACGCCCCCACTTGCCTTACCCGTGGGCAGAGCCAGGAGGGCGCGTCTCCAGCGGCCATTGGCGGTTCTGGCATGTCCCTGTGGGTGACACACGGGG